AAGCATATGTACACCAATTAGCATTAAATAAACTGCATGCCATGCATTGCTATCTATGCACCAAAGAACACAGCCAAAACAATGGCAGCGGCTATCTTAAAGCCTGAGTCTTGTCTCTGCTTCAGCCCATGTTTATAGATAACAGGGAGTCATACAGTGTCAGAAACCACATAATCAAGTCTATTAGAGATTATTGAACAACTCCACACACTTTGTGGCAGGTGTGTGTTGATTTAGGCATCCAGTTAGCACCATGCTAATTGGTTGGGAAAGGGATTCTGTGTTAGCTGCGTTAGCCTCATGCCTCCAGTACGAAACTACAGAAGCATCAGATGCCAAACGAAGGAGGATAAAATTGGTCCATAATAGCAAGAAAACATAAAAAATGTCCAGAGTTGAAAAACACAAGTTGATAAAGCTGTGCAGACTTTCCTGTATCCCCTAAACATACAGGGTCAGTTTCCAGGTCAAGGATTAAAGGCCCAGTTACACTTGCATTTGCCAGTAACTGAACTGCAGTGGACATTCTTAGTACATACAGTCAGACAAAGATTTTGTTATTTTAGCTGTTTACCACAGTATATTGAATTTTAAATTATATAATGAAGACGAACTCCAAGTGCTAATTTGTCAGTAATTTTGAGGGTATTTACAACTACATAGGTTGACAATGTAGGAATGACAACCATTTTCATATATAGTCCCCCATTTTCAGGGGCTCAAAAGTAATTAGACAGTTGGCTACTCAGCTGTTCCATGGCCAGCAGATAAAAGATCTAGAGTTGAATGGTGGCGTTTGCATTTGGAATCTGATGCTGTTAACTCTCAATATGAAGTCAAAAGAGCTTCATTGCCAGTGAAAGAAGCTGACATTAGGCTGAAAAATCTAAATAAACCCATCAGAGAGTGCAAAAAACATCAGGTGTGGCCAAAGAAAAAAAATAGTGAGCTCAGAAACACCGAAATATCCAGAAGACCACAGGAAACAACTGTGGTGCATGACAGAAGAATTTGTTTCCTGGTGAAGAAAAACTTGGTTTACAACCGTTGGCCAGATCAAGAACATCCAGGAGGTCAGCATCATTTAGCATCACTGACTATTACTAAACACATGAAAGAGAGGCTGTATGACAAACAGTCAGTTGGGTGACTGTTTAATTATCTATTATTTAACTGCTGTAGTTTCACTGTTTGTTTTAGAGGAGTTAACCAGCTTGCTAACTGCTAAGCTAGCTCTTTGGCTAATTGCACCTGCACACAAGTCTCTCCAGTGTTGCCTCACGCCAGTTATCTACACATTTTTGATACGAATCGAAAGTGTGCAGCACTTTAGTCTCATGATTAATTAATCTGATAATTATCTTCTCTTTTGTGTTTTTATTGTTAATGGTTAGCAAGTTAGCTAGCTTGGTAACTGCACTAACAGAGGATTTCAGGACTACACAGCATTCTGAATGGAGATTCTCTGTTGAAAGTAAAATGTTTTCTAATCCTTTCTTAATCCCTGACCAGGAAACTGACCCATAGACATTGTACATTAATTTGTACTGTAAGTGGACTAAACTTCCAGTATATTTGAATCAAAAGTAGTTAAGTATCTTACCACATTATCTTTGCTTCAACTGTTACTATTTTACATATCACATTAAATATAGCTGATTTAATATCGATATCATCGTGCATCCATAAAAATATAGTCTGATGTTTTATTGTATTTCTCTGTTGCCTAGTGAAATATATCCTATCATTCATATGAAACATGCTTATATCACTGAAAATATTGTTTTTTAAAGGGCTAATATCCTATATTTTATTTATTTATATATTTATTTTCCCCATAGTGGTTTTATATATCAAAAATATTTGGAATTCATTTTTACATGTCCATTTTCCAGCTTCTCTTTATCCCTTAGAACTTAGAACAGGCTGTTTTTCTTACTGTGCCTTCAAGACTGACATATGCAAACGACACTGGTTCTGATTGGCTGCCATGTATTCAAAAAACAGGTCAGGTTGAAGGACTTCTTATAGCATCAACAAGAAATAGTGAGCCAATCTGCTGTAGGCTGAGTAGATGGATACATGCACATGGTTTTTTGTGACATCACAAAACATAATCATTTCCAAACAGTTTTTGCAGCTTAGTTTCCACTAGTTATATGGATCGTACAGATTGGAGAGAATCTTTAACAACGTCGACACCAAAGCTTTTTTTTTCAAAAACTGAGAAAAATGTGTTTTTCCATGATAGGGGCCCTTTAACTGTCTTCACTTTGTCTTCATTTGTGGAATTATAGTAATAACACTGTATCAGCTGCACTACATAAAAAATTAAGATAAATAAATTAACCTTTAGTGTTTATATTTAATCTGTGTGTGTTATTGGCATATAATGTTTGTGTCAAACTTGGCTTGGTGCTGACCGTGTTGTCCTCTAATAGATAAGAAAAAAGAATTGTGAACCCATAAATAATCAATACATAATTTTACCATATCACCTTAAAAAATAAGCATTCTTTTCATTTCCAAAGATACTTACACATATTTTTACCAAAGACTTTTATTTTGTACTTATATACTAACACTACATTTTTAAACCAAAACATCATTTGTTTACAGGTATATTAAAGAAAAGGAAAATTGAAAAAAGTAAAAAATAAAAATACAGTGCTTTCCAAAGGCACTTCAAACACAAATACTGTAGGTATGAAAGATGTCAGAGAGAGAGAGAGAGAGACAGTCAGAGTCATGAGGCTGGCAGATTCACCGTAAAAGAGGAAACAGGTCTATATTTAAAACAGTGGAAAACAGCGTCATTAATGTAGTATCTAGTGTAAAGGTTAAACAATGCAAATCACCAGAAATCACAAATCAATCATATTTCCATTTAAACTATGGGATTTACAGTTAAATCTACACTAAACAGAATATAATTTGTATTTTAACCTGCTATTTAGTCTAAGACCCGTCTTCAGGGGACATTCTGGCCAAAATGAAAAATGTAACCTCACTATGTCTGATGTACACTCTCAGAAATAAAGGCACTAAACGGTCACTGGGTCAGTTCCCCTCTTGTCACTGCGGTGGAACCCTCAAGGCTCCATCTCAGTACCTTTAGTCAGGGAACATAACTGAACCATAATCCACTGAAATGATATGTTCTAAGCTGTACTGACTCCACACACCCCGTCTCGTCTCCAGGCTTTTATTTTACTGTTCAGTTTAAAACATTCGGTTATGAAAAGGTACAAATACGAACTTTTCACCTGGAAAAACTTATTTAAGGTTCACAATCAGACCTTAAAACCACTGTTGGACCTTTGAGGGAACATTTACACTGTTTGTACCTTGATGAACAAAAAATGTACCTTTATTTCTGACAGTGAAAACATGCTTACTAGCATCACCCAGCCGAGCCGTCATAGTCACTAGAATGAGATTTTCCCATTTAAAGACTAGAAAACCCCCCTGCTGATGAAGTGGTCAGATTAAGTGGATAATTATGTGTTTTTTTTTCCTAGCTAGCTAATTTAGAAGGAATCCAGATAGATAACATCACTGCTAGAACGCTGAATATCATGTCTCAGACATAATTGCATAATGCATGCTGGGTATTGTAGTGAGAGAACCCTGATGGGCGAAACTAAAAACAAAAACAAACTGATGAGGCGGAGGGATATAACGCTGCGCTACAGTATATTATATAACACAGTGGAGAACACATGCCAGTTTTAGGCCGGAATGTCCCTTCAGCTCACGTCCAGGAAAACAGCCATCAACTCATTGTTCAGTTATTAGTCTTACAGCTTATTATAGTCATGTGTAGGCAGAGGTGAGTAGCCACTAGTTCCATTTACTCACTTACATAAACTTAAGTAAATTTTGATGGATTTGTACATTCCTGACTTTTCAGTTCAGCTAGATAAACGAGGAAAGTAATGTCCTCATTTCCATTCAACATGTAGTTCCTTATTCTTTTTTGGGTTTAATTTCAATCTGTGTTGGTTCAGCTCATGTTCTGCTTTACTGTTGATCACTCCTCTCACTTCGGAGCTTAAGCACCTTATTTTAGACCGAAAAGATCCAAAAAGAGAAGAACAGTGCTGTACAAACAGGAGTAATTTTATAGCTTTAGCCTACGAGGTAAATGGTAATAGTATACTTCACTATGAAGTTTTAAGCAGATTTGCTTATTTTAAGTAATGTTTCATCAAATAAATGTAACTAAATAGGAAATATTAGCAAATGTCTTGCAAATATTACTTAGAAATATTACATTTTAATTCTGAGCTTCACCATCTATGTACAGGGTGATTCAAAAAGATTCATCTGATTTCATAATGATTTATTTCACTTGTAAATCATTACAGATCAATGCAGTGAACTGTAAATGGTTTAATTGAGCATAAAGTTTATTATGTAATTTTACTAGTGCTCAGTATGAACCTCCTCCAGCTGTACAGACAACATCAACACCATAGTCAAACTCATCCCATACTGGATTGAGCATGTCGGGTGACGCTGCACTCACGGCTCTTTCAGTGCGATTTCGGAGATCATCCAGTGTTGTGGAACCAACGACGAACGCTCTGAGCTGTTGGAGCTTCACTGCCCACGAAAATCACACTGCACAGTTATGACGGATTCACTCTTATTGAAGTGGAGAACGCAGAATGCTTTCTGCTCAGGGGTCTCATCTCCTCTCAGACTGAAGGGAGCCAGTCAGAAACTCTATGACCCCCTCTTTCATTTGGATTGTGATTGGTTCCTCTGTGCCTCACGGTTGTAACAATATGGCGCTTTGAAATCAGATTAATCTTTTTGAATCACCCTGTACTTCTTTAACTTAGAATGATCATTTTACTAAAGTTAAAATCAATTTGTAGACTTAACTTGACATTAATTAGCTAATTTACTGAAGTGAGTCACTCCCACTTTTCTCAAAGTTATGTTCGCAGTTTACAGTGCACTCTACCCACCTCTGTATGCAAGCTATGTGGTTATGAGAGTGAAGAAGGAAAATCTGGAGCTTCTGGTGGTTCCTTTGATTTTAGCAGATTAACTATCCAGGCTCCAAGACCCAAGGCTAGTAGCACTTTAGCCGCTAATGCTAACCCTAGCATCAGTGGCAGGGCTGTAGGGTTGCTCTTACTGATGGATTTCTCTGGGCTTGGGGGTAGAATATACACCATGGCCTGGTCTTTACCCAGAGGGTTTGAAGCAGTACAGGTATATTGCCCTCCTGGCTGGACGTCCAGCAGGTGGATCGTGACCCAGTGCTGACTTGGGGCCTCCTGAGAGAATGGGAATCCAATATCCCCTTCAAAAACGTCGTCTGGACCCATCCACTGGACGTCTGGCTGGGGAGAACCCTGAACCTTACACCGAGCTTTGAGACCAGTGTCCATGCTGCCTTCTATGGACAAGCTGAGGATACGTGGAGGAGCTGGAAAAGAGGAACAACACAAACAGGTTTCACAAAGCAAAATTTCTAATCCAAGTGCAAAAAATGAGGGTAGTTCAATGGAAACTCCCTTTAGGTCATCTCTTACTGAACATGCCTGGTTTTTGGTTTAAAGCAAGTTTTTGGTGAAAATGTATTAGATTTTAAATGTATTAATAACAAGGCTAATGCAGTTAACTGGGGGCAGTTATGAGCTGCAGGTTAAGGCACCAGCCTTGCGACCGGAAGGTTACCAGTTCGATCTCATAAGCCGACAGCATACGACTGAGGTGCCCTTGAGCAAGACACCTAACCCACAACTGCTCCCCGGGCACTGCGGATAGGGCTGCCCACCACTCCAGGCAAGTGTGCTCACTGCCCCCTAGTGTGTGTCTTCATTAGTGTGTATGTGGTGTTTCACTGCACGGATGGGTTAGATTGTGGAGGTGAAACTTCCCCACTGTAGGACTAATAAGGGTCACTTAATCTAATCTTAATCTAAAAACAAGTAATGGAAGCTGCTAGCTAACAATAAGCATAGTGCAAGCTAAGCGACTGGGATATAGGTCAACAAGGTACAGAAAAACTTCAGACTCTGACTCACCTCTGAGATTCAAGACTTGACTTGGATTCACCTCTGAGATTCAAGACTTGGCTCAGACTGTCACCTCAGACACTCAACTTGGACTCTAACCTCAGAGACTCAACTCAGACTCACATCTCAAAAGATTTGATTTGCACTCCAGACACATAAGACTCAACTCAGACTTGCACTTCAACGACTCAGCTCCACCCCAGAGACTCAGGACTCCCGCCTTAGAGACTTGACTCGGACTTTCACCTCTGAGATTCAAGACTTGACTTGACAAGTCTCTCACCTCAGACACTCAACTTGGACTCTCACCTCAGAGATTCAACTCAGATTCGCACTCCAGAGACTTAAGATTCAACTCAGATTCGCACTTCTGAGATTCAGACCCTCACCTCAGAGACTCAAGACTCAGATTTGTACCACAGAGACTTGATCTGGACTTGCACCTCAGAGACCTGGGACTTGACTTGAACTTAATCAACATGTGAACATCTTCAGCTGCATAGTCACGGTGCATACCTAAAAAGCAGGCTACGAGCCATTACTTGTTATCTATAGTAACCTTGTAGCTTCAAAGCAAAACTAAAGCAACAAACACCAGACACCAATCACTGTCTTGATCAACTATAAGGGACCAACAATTTTAGGTGAATGTTACCTTCCACTCTTAGCCGCGTCCCCATTTTATTCTCATAGCTGCCATGTGGTTGTCCCGGCAGCTCCACACGGCAGTAGTACCGGCCATTGTCCTGCAAGGCGGCGCTGTTGATGCGCAGTGACAGGTCATGTTCCCGGTGGTTTCCCTCCAGGCGGTAGCGCTGGTCCTGGTTTGGTCCAGGATGGCAGTACTGGCTGCCGTTGAGGCTCGAGCAGCGGAACAGCACTGTGCCTGTGTGGGTGTGACCCAGTCGCCACACCACGTGCATGGAGGCGTGGTGGGTGTTGTGAGGGTGTGTGAAGGAGCAGGGCAGCACCACCGGGTAGCCCTCTATAGCCCGGACCTCCGCTGGGACCTTCATGGACCAGCCATCATCATGCGTTGCTGTGAACAGAGGGTCATCAGGGGACATCAAGGGTTATCAAGGGCCAGTAGCATTATGCACATGTGCACCTTGGGTCAATCTTCAGCTGAAACTTGGAAGGGTCAATGCTAGTCCAAGACTAAAATGCTAATATTGGTATTAATTAATGGAAGCTACTGGTGCTAGTTAGCATTATGCATATAAATAGAGTCGTAGATGTGAACAAGGGACACTGAATCCATGCCAATCAAAGGGGAGTGTCACATAAATATTCTAATGTTGCTAATAAACTAATTTGCATTATTTACATGTGCATATTCATAGACAGACCTTCTTCATAGGCTGGCGGACCAGGTGCTAGTCAAAGAAGAACTTCACACAAAAGTGCTAACATTGCTAACTGACTGCATGCTATCAGGAGAGTTCTTCACATGTTCTCCTTCAATGCTAGTTTCCATCATGTGCTGCTGGAACTGGAGAGGAAGATCAATGCAAGTCAAATATTTCTAATACTGATTGGGATCTATTAGTGATAGTTAGCTTTTTGTACAGATATTGCTAATCTTTAAACTCTCACTCTTTAGGGTAGTGTGGCAGTACACTCTTAAAAAGGATGGTTCTTCAACGGTTCTTTAGTAAAGAAAATGGTTCTATATAGAACCATGAAAACTCAAAGCACCCTTTGTAATGCTTTGCATTGTAAAAACGTTCTTCAGATTGATGGAGAATGTAGATGGTTTTATATAGAACCTATTTTGGAAAGGGTTCTGCATAGCACCCAAAAGGGTCCCTCTATAGTTACGATGTCATGCTTGTTACAGTAGAAGAACCCTTTTCAGAAAGGTTCTATAATGAACCATCTACAGCACATGTCATATTTTGCAGAGTGTCTGTTTAATCTAATCTAATCTGTTTAATCTGTTTAATCACCACTTTACACTCTTAAAAAAGATGGTTCTTCAAGGGTTCTTCGGTAAAGAAAATGGTTCTAGACAGAGCCATGAACATTCAAAGCACCCTTTGTATGATTAAAGGGTTTTTTGCATCATAAAATGGTTCTTTAGATCGATGGAGAACGTAGATGATATATACGAAAACATAGATGATATATACGAAAAGGTTCTTTTTGAAAGGGTTCTATATAGCACCCAAAAGGGTTCCTCTATAGTTACGATGTCATGCTTGTTACAATAGAAAAACATTTTTCAAAATAGAACCATTTACAGCACATAAATGTTGTATTTTGCAGAGTATCCATTTAATCTACACTGAAAAATATGCTATCTTGGCAAGTGAGATGATCTTAAGTCAAGTCGATGTATCTAATATTTCTAATTTTAATATGATTTTAAGAATATTTTAGGATTATTTAATTTTATAATTTCTAAAATTTTCACCCTTGTTTTAAGTAATTTTATTAAGTAAAATTGACATTATTGTCAGATAATTTTGCTTATTTGAAGAAATATGCTTGAAACAAGTGCAATTATCTGTACAATAATAATATAGTGAGAATTTTACTTTTATAAATTTACTTAAAACAAGTAAAAATGCCTAGAAATAATAAGTTTTGCAGTATATGATCGAGAAGGTCTGTTTGAAGTATTATTCTTTGAGACAATCATTAGAAGCCACAGTTTTTGAGATTTGCCTGTTCAGCTCTTTCAGTCTAAGAAAAGTGTGAAGTTGCTATTATGACACAAAGAAAATGTATAGCATGTTTTATATATAACACATTTCCATATTCTTAGAATCGTTTCTAAGCTCTTACCTGCTGAGTGGAGCAGCAGCAGCAGGGTCAGGGTGCTGTAGAGGGTTGGAGTGTCCATGGCTTTACTGCACTGTTCTGTCCGTTGCTGGGGAAGCAGCTCTAAATCCACACAGACGTCCCCACCTCTGACTCACCGTCACACATAACCCACCAGGCTCAGCATGTATAGCTAAATAGCTAAAAAACAGCAGCAGCTCTCATAACGACAGAATTCTGTCAGCGCTTTAGTCCGTGTTTATCATAAACTGAATCATACAGTATCAGAAACTGCATAATTGAGATACAGAACAACTCTACTGTCTTAGGAAAGAATGTGATGAACCAAAAAAAGATGGTTCTTCAAGGGTTCTTTAGTAAAGAAAATGGTTCCATATAGAACCATGAACACTCAAAACACCCTTTGCATGATTAAAGGGTTCTTTGCATCTTGAAAAGGTTCTAAAAATTGATGGAGAATGTGCTGCAGATGGTTCTATACAGAAAGTTTTTGAAAAGGGTTCTGTCATTATAATATAAGCTTGTAACAATAGCAGAACCCTTTTTTTGGTGCCATACAGAACCCTTTTCAAAAAGGTTCTATATAGATCCGTCTATAGCGCATTCTCCAACAACATGAAAAATGCTTTAATCATGCAAAGGGTTCTTTGAGTGTTCATGGTTCTATATAGAACCATTTTCTTTAGTAAAGAACCCTTGAAGAACCATCTTTTTTAAAGTGATAAAGTGACGGATGCTGGGAGGAGGGGTGCTCTGTATTTGACTTGATAATGTGGACCAGTGGTCTCCAACCCTGGTCCTGGAGAGCAACCCTCCTACAGAGTTTAGTTCCAACCTGTATCCAGTAAACTGCCCCGCCCCCTTACTTAACTCTAATCTAAACCAGCCAATCAGGGACTTGGGAAGAGGTTAATTAGCTGGAGTATGTGTGGCAGATTGTGGTTGGGACTAGACTCTGCAGGAAGGTAGATCTCCAGGACAAGGGTTGGAGACAACAGACATAGATAATTAATGTTGTTATTATCTTTTGGCCACCAGGTGGCAGTGTCTTTCAGTATTTGATTCCCTCTCACACAGATTTTAGGAGCAATGAGTGAGGAAGGGGAGCGTTCAGTGAAAATAAGGAGAAAATGAAAGATTAAAGTTTACAAATTGGTTTCAGTGCAAAAACAACTATGTATGAACTTTTCTGATGAAAAGCATTTAGACTGGTGTAACAGCTTCAGACTGGTTGTTGTGCACGTGTTGCTGATGTGTCATACATTTTAAGAAAAGGAAAACTAGATGTGGGTGTGATAACAGAGTAAGGCCAAGTTTCAGCTGAAGATGCTTTTAAACAGACTGTTTGTGAATTACGAAGACTAAGAGAAAGGAAGAAGACAAGATAAATACACATGAACTTGTTTGACACTGTGCTTTGTAATCTGCATGTATTTTGTATGTTTAATGGAAATTTCAGTGTATTGTTGTCGGGGTGGATGATACTTGAGTAATTAAGTTGACAAAGCCAACTTACTTATCTTTGTTTTGCTGTTCTATGTCATTTTTGGTGCCGTTTTCTGGGGTCACAGTTTTTAAGCTAGAACTTTGAAAATTAACAGGATTGTAGAGCCTACATGGGAATAATGATGTTGTGCTTTTGAGACCAATCACATGTACAGTTTCCATACATACGTTCAAAGATAATTTACTTAAAGTGCTTATATAATTTAATAATACTGCTTACTATTCCATAGCAATGGCCTAGCAACATCTTAGCAACCACCTGGAATTAAGTTGACAAAGCCAACCTAGCAGTAACCTAGCAGCATCTTAGCAACTACCTGGAATTCCATAGCAATGGCCTAGCAACATCTTAGCAGCCACCTGGAATTCCATAGCAATGGCCTAGCAACATCTTAGCAACTACTTGGAATTCCATAGCAATGGCCTAGCAACATCTTAGCAACTACTTGGAATTCCATAGCAATGGCCTAGCAACATCTTAGCAACCATGTGGAATTCCATAGCAATGGCCTAGCAACATCTTAGCAACCATTTGGAATTCCATAGCAATGGCCTAGCAACATCTTAGCAACCATTTGGAATTCCATAGCAATGGCCTAGCAACATCTTAGCAACCATTTGGAATTCAATAGCAATGGCCTAGCAACATCTTAGCAACCATTTGGAATTCCATAGCAATGGCCCAGCAACATCTTAGCAACCATTTGGAATTCAATAGCAATGGCCTAGCAACATCTTAGCAACCATTTGGAATTCAATAGCAATGGCCCAGCAACATCTTAGCCACAACCTGGAATTCCATAGCAATGGCCTAGCAACATCTTAGCAACCATTTGGAATTCCATAGCAATGGCCTAGCAACATCTTAGCAACCATTTGGAATTCCATAGCAATGGCCTAGCAACATCTTAGCCACAACCTGGAATTCCATAGCAATGGCCTAGCAACATCTTAGCAACTACTTGGAATTCCATAGCAATGGCCTAGCAACACTTTAGCAACCACCATTTCAAGAAATATAAGAATAAATAATAAATAAATGTAATAATTTAACATTTTGACAAAATGCTAATATGTTCACTTCAACCTCTCCAAACGTTTCTGTTGATCTTGATGTACTGACTTGATATTCTGACTCGATATTTCTACAACCGGGGTTCAATCCCAGCTTGGGTAAGCACCCCACACTGTACCAATAAAAGCCCTTGCGCAAGACTCCTAACACTGCCTTCACCTACCTGTGTAAAATAAGCAAATTTTTAATCGCTCTGGATAAGAGCGTCTGCCACATGCCATAAATGTAAATGTAAATATTCTCAAATATGCAAAAAAGAGCTGAGTGAAGAATCATGTGCTGTTTGATGATCATCAGGAGACTGTAGGTTCTCCGTTTGAGTGGCCTTCAAACCACTGAAAACGTTCACAAAATGAATTGGCCATAAGTGGGGCTTATGACTGAATGAGGCCACCTAGTTAAGACTGACTTTAGCGTCCAGGCCCCCTTTAGCTTGTTCATGAACGAAGCCATCCAGTTTATGGTCCAATGCAAAGTATATTCTAACGTTTATCTCTGTACAGCAATACAGACACAAAATGCTTTACTAATAAGGCAGTTAGTGCAGGACGGTGTTTCTTTCTCTGTGTCAGTTGTTGCACATACAACAATCTGTAATCGTACTTCCTTAGACACTACTATACTGTTTTTTCCTGTTTACAGCAAAACTAGAAGCTG